TATGTGTGTGTGTGTGTGTGTGTGTGTGTATGTATATATATATTTGTAAAGTATCAAGTTCCTACAACGTACTCAATAAATACTGGTTGTACTTAAAGATAATATTGTGCCACATTTTTCTCAGTCTGCAATGATTTTTAAATCAGGGAAAAATTAATTTAGTAAAGAAATGAAAGGAATGATAGTCCATCTCAGGACTGGATTTTCTGAGTATATTTCTTTCAGAAATCTACATTTATTCCCAATTATCTCACTGATTTTTCCATAAAAGAGAATTAAATACACACATAAAATTGAGAAGCACTTCTTTGTTCCCTAAGTGGCAAAGCTGGCATGTGACATTAAGGCCTTCTGACCCCACATCCAGTCTCTTCATTCCCCAAGTCTAATTCCAAAACTCCAAGAAGAAAAGCTTCTTACCACTTGGGCTTCTGAACAGGACAGGTGCAGCTGAATTGGGATCCTGGGGGATCGCCTCTAGATCCATGTCATCACTGTCAGACTCCTCAGCCACAGCCTCTTCTGCTCCTGCCTCATGCTGCCAGTCTCCCTGCCTTGGTTCCTCAGTCTCAGTATCACTGCCCACCAGGCCAGAGTGAGAGGCTGCTTCCTCCAAGCCATTACTCGGCAGGGCAATGACCTGAGCACTCATCAGGGCTTCCATTTCTTCAAAGAAGGGACAGGTCTCAGGTGGGTGGCCGCTCTTGACTTTCCGATAGCTCTTCTGGAGACCTTTGAACTTGGTCCGACACTGTTCCAGGGTCCGGAGGAAGCCATATTCCCTGAGCCGCTCAGCCACAGCCCCATACACCTGGCTATTTCTATGACAGTTTCGGAGAGCCTCATAAAACTCAGTCTGGCTGAGAATTGCAAGCAGTGTTCTGGTCTCTTTATAACCCCAGTGCACACCTGCCACCTTCTCATCCTCAAAGCCCCAGTGATCCTGTTCCACCCAGCTTCTTCTATCTTTCTTGGATGGTAACGGATCAGCATGCACTCGTCTGTCTCCCGTGTAGCTACCACTTGGAAGTTCTTTCTCCTTGGAGCCTGGGAGATCTGGAATCCACGGCTCTCCCTGCTCCAACCTGGAGACCACACTGGATTTGGGAAATGGAAATCCTGCTTGCAGGGAAGCAAACAAAGGGTATCTTAGTTAGGACTGATCATCACAAAAATCTTCGACATTCAGTCCTGCCTTTTTCATCCAAGAGGATTATAAATAAAGTGTCTAGGGAAATGTTTTCAGAAAGTGCAATGGGTTGAAAAAGGTGGGGAAAATACAGGAAACCTCAAAAGATGAGAAAGGTTCTATTTTCCAAACAGGGTGACAAGAGAGGAAAGGAGTCTGTGTGTTCAAAGCAGATAATTCTATTTCAAGTTGTTCCCTAGCTCTCCTATTTGTAGGCAGGTCCTAGTACTGCTGGAAATAATTATTCTTCACTGGGGCTTCAGAATTAAACTCAGAGTCATTTCAAGGGGGAAGTGAGAGAAGACTGTCTTTATCTGTTTCCTTCACAGTCAGTCACCAAGTTCTAAAGGTGTTTATGTTTAGAACTACTGCCACCATCCAAGTCCAAACTCCTTATCCTCTCACACCAGATAACTGCAGCAGTCACTGTTCTTCCTAACTCCGGGCTCCTGCTTCCTCAGCGCACATTTTACCCTGCTAAGCCTTAACCTTAGTGCCTACCATACCCATTCCTGTCAGACTCTTCCTCCAGAACACAGCACACTTTTATCACCCCTCTGTGGCTTTTAATTCTCTCTTATCCAGTTTCAGCCCGTCCTTCAAAAGGCTGCATTTGCCAATGCCCTCAAGAAGCCTTACCTACAGCCCTCCCTCATCTCCCACTCTGCCAAACCCATACAGTACTCACACAATTGAATGAGTCATTGGCATTGTTTCAGTACAGTTCAGTTCAGCACATACTTAGAGTTAGCCATTGTGGTTCTCAACGATGTTTTTAAGTTCTTTGAGGATATGCACATTTTTTTATTGCAGAGTATCCTGCAAGGTGTTGAGCACCTTGATAGGTGTTCCAAAACTAATGAACTCTGCAAGTCTGTGAGATTCAGGGATTTAATCTGCATCACTAAACAGAGAGACCATTACCAAACTGGCTGAGAAAGCTATCATCTTAGACGATAATACCACAATTCAAAACAACTTCAACAAATTTTAAGTGAAATGGTAAGAGAAAAAAGCATACAACATGGAGATCAATAGAATACGAAGAAGAAAAACAAGTTCTAGAAAATCAAGTACAAGAATAATCAAGCAGGTATAAAGGCACTGGGGAAAGCTATCAGAATCCTGGAAGTTACCAGGTGAACAAAAAATCATATAATCACAGGTTGGGCTATATTGATACAAGGCGCAAGATTCTGAAGTAAAATTCTTACTTAGCTTCTAACAGTCACGAGAATAGTATACATAAATTAGTTCTCCACAATTAACATGATATTTGGAGAACTTAATGGTTCCAATAGAGAGCAACAAAAACTTAGGTTTAAAGAATGAATCTTCTAGGGGAAAGCTTAAGGAAACAAATAGAGTTTAATTTGAAGAAGGAAAACAACCGAAAGGAAGATCTGCCTTCAAGTATAGAAAAGAATTTTTATCTAGAAAATAATGACCTATCATCATTACCAAGAGGAAGTAATTCCAGTTCTGATAAAAACTAGGGAGCCATTCTCTAGTGGACTTATCAAGAGGTAATAAAAGAATACCAGAGGGCTAAACTACATGTCAAAAACCACATATTCTACAATTTCCACTTATTCCTGAAATCCCTTTCCCACTCACTATTCCCAACCCTACTTCCCAACTTGGAATGGCACTCTATCTTCCCATATGAATCTACTCCTCACCGCTCCTTTGAAAAGGTCTGAGCTTCTCCTTTGGGTTCATCTGCTCCTGTGGTCCCAGGTCTGGGCTTCTTGCCCTCTCTTTCTTGGGTACGCCCCTGGGTTGGGGTTCCACTGACTCCTGCCGAACACTTAATAACTCTTGTGATGATTTCAGGGGTGTCATCTTCTCCAAGCGCACTTCCTGCCCCTTCACAGAGACTGTGACCTAGAAACAACCCCTGTTAATTGTCACTGCAAAAGTCATAATGAGGGGGCATTCCCAGAGGAGATTATTTAATACCCCAAAAGAGATCATCGTTCAGGGCCATGGCCAGGATTTTAGGGGTGGGGGAGGTTAAAGTGAACAAGGGTCTTATTCCATTGCCATTAGCTTAAAGCAGCTGAAACTCCAGAAGGAAACGATCAAAACAGTAAACCCAACTACAGGCTGAAAAAAAAATCCTCTTTCTTCCTTATTAAGAAACCATAAAACTAGCAAAAACTCATTATGACAGGGTAGGTGAAGTACACCTAGGTAGCATCTCCAGACAAGCACTATCTGAAAAAGTTACTTATACCAGACTAGAAGTATAAGCATCACCAGGGGAGATTGTGCCCCTCTTTAAGCCGGTCTATTAATTTAGCCCTCCACCCTTGCCCCTTCCCAGTATCACACTTGAATTCCCCCTCCCTTCTCACCGAAGGTCCAGGTCTTCCAGGCTCTCTTTCTAAATCTTCCACCAGAGTCACTGCCTCCTCTCCATTTTCTGGACACTGTTCCTGTACCCAATTCTGGATCTCCCCAGGTAAGACGGTCAGGAACTGCTCTAGCACCAACAGTTCTACAATCTGTTCCTTGGTGCGCACCTCGGGCCTTAACCACCGACAGCAAAGTTCCCAGAGTTGGCTGAAAGCCTCTCGCGGCCCAGCCACCTCCTGGTAATGGAATCTCCTGAAGCGCTGTCGGAATGTCTCAGAGTTAGGGCTATTCTCTCTCAGGGAGGATTTGGCCATCATTCACAGCAGAAAGCAGCTTCCCTCCACTTAAGAGTCTGGGTTCCAGAGCTTACATCTATCTTCCCATGTCCTTGGAGAAACACCTGCAGATGACACTCTCCCTGTAAGAAGAGCTTCTTCTTAGGGCAAAGAAAGATGGCACTATCAGAAGAAATATATTCATATGTCTAAAGTCTTGCCAGAACTGGTCTCCCTTCCCATATGCTCCAAGTGGCCTTCTGAGGCAGCACAATCTTCAGTAAAAAGACTTTGCAGAAGCTGCTTTTCTGGATGACTTCCAGAGCCGCCCGAGGAAGCAGCAGAGAATAAAAGTACTGTCCGCTCACCTCCCACCTCCTCCAAATCCGATCCCATTTAACTCCCCTGACCAATGTTGCATAGTGAGCCCGAACCATACAGGTGAGCTGGAGCTCGAGAGGATCTCAAGCCAAGTCACTATCCTGGCTTGAAGGCAACAAAAAGCCTCTGTCCAGCTGGTCGCAGCTGATGTTCCCAAGTACCGCCGCAGCCCTTCCCGAGGCCTGCGTCCGCCCAGCCCCCTCGGGCTGCACAACTCCCAACGCCCACCCCAGGCAAAAATCACGTCCAGAATCTCGAGTCTTTGTTTTCCCCTCGTAGCAGTAGTAGCCTCTCAGCAAGGATTCGGGTGCAACTTGCTGGAAAACCTCAAGCAAGGAGAGAAACCACTTTTGGCTCCAAAGCGAGGACCGAGTGGGTTTGGGGAGAGTCACACTGCGTTGGAGAGACGGAGTCCGAGGGCCAGTAGTAACCGGCTTCCTAATGATGAGCTCGGGTGCCGGCCAGGGGCTCCAGGTGCTGCCAGTTCGAGGACGCAGAACTTTCAGCTGAAGGAGGGGCGGCTGCGGGATTCCGGCCTCTTTGTCTCGGCTCCCTCCGGCCGGGTCACCCGCAGCCGTCGTGCAGTCCCTCCAGGGGCCTCTGACCCGGCTAAGGCGCCCTCCAGCCTACCCCACCCCTGGGAGGGTCTCCCTCTCGAGCCGCCCCTCAACCTCCTCGCATCCTTGCCTCCTGGCCAGCCTCACCCATTCGGGGTCCCGCCCCGGCCCCAGCTCCAGCTCTCCAGCCACTAAGTACAGCTCCCAAACCGGAAGTCCGAGCAGGCGGCTCGGGGTACCGAGGGCGCATGCGCAACGGCAGCTACCGCTACTCAGTCTCCGCAGAGCTGGGGCGGGAGTAGCGGGTGGGCCCCGTAGAGCCGCCGAACTTCCGGGACTCGGCCGTGACCCCTTCCCGGCTTCCGGTCCGCTCTGCCGCATTGGTTGTCTCAGCGGGCTGATTCGGGACAAACCACACGACCCAGGGGCCGATGCGAGTGTGGAAAGGGGAGCACTCCTCTCGTGGTCGCCTGGAGGGGCGCTGGAGGAGGGGGTGACGTATCCAGGGACTCGAGGTCGGCTGCGGTAATGATCCACGAACTGCTCTTGGCTCTGAGCGGGTACCCTGGGTCCATTTTCACCTGGAACAAGCGGAGTGGCCTGCAGGTACTGTCCGGCGCAGAGCGCGGGAACCAGGGAGAGCTGGAGCGGCGGACCTGAGCCAGCGCCTGGGGGATGAGGCTGAGGGACCGAGCGGGCGGGGCTTGCAGAGCTGGGGGCGTGTCCCTGGACAGGTGACTGGAGGGCAGTCCCTTAGGGTGAACGCTGATGTGACGCCTAGAGAGGCCGGGCTTAGGCTGGAAAACGGAGGGCCGACCTCGAAGAGCCCAGCCTCTGGCGGGGCAAGGAAAAGGCCTGAGGTCGAGGTGTCTGAGTGACAGTTGCTGGGAAATGATATAGAAGTGTGGGAGGCACTTTCTCCTATTTATTTTCACGCATGCATTGTTTGAGTTTTAAAGGACTGCTCCAAATACACAGCTCCCAAACTCATGGAAAGCGTTAAGTAAAGTTTGTAGAATGAAGAAATGAAATGGAGAGGGTGTGATGTTTCCCTCATTACTCCTTTACCAGGAAATTTCTGCACTAGATAAAGAACTTAGAAGGGAGCCTTCGTGTAACCAGGAATGTATGATGGTCCGTATATACATTACCTTATTTAATCCTCACAACCGCCTATATCCATTTTACGGATTAACCTAGGTTTAGAATGTCAAATAACTACTGGGATCACATAGCTAGTAATTAACAGAGCTTAGTTTTGAACCCAAGCCTGTCTGGCTTCAGTGTTTGAACTACTCTTACCTGCTTCTGCTTCCAGTAATATTATCTAATGTTCTCAATAATTTAGTAACTTAGGTATTGTTTCTACTGGTTAACAAATGATCAAACTGAAGGTCAGAGAACTTTATGCTGGCTAGTCCTGGTAATAGCAAGATTGAAATCTAGGTCCAACTGATCATGAAGTCATGCCTGTTGCTAGGAGAATTTGCAATATGGACTGGAAGAGCAGAAAAGGTACATTCTTAGTCTATAAAACCTGTAAATCAAACAGATTCCTTTGTTATTATTTATGAATGTGTATTTGGAGTTAGGGAGTTTAGGTGAATTTTTTTAATTATTTTATTTTTAGAGTGAGTCACTGTATCGCCCAGGCAGGAGTGCAATGGCACCCTCTTGGCTCACTGCAACCTCCGCCTCCCGGGTTCAAGCAATTCTCCTGCCTCAACCTCCCCAGTAGCTGGGATTACAGGCACCTGCCATTTTTCCTGGTGAAGTTTTGTATTTTTAGTAGAGACAAGGTTTCACCATGTTGGCCAAGCTGGTCTTGAACTACTAACCTCAAGTGATCTGCCCACTTCAGCCTCCCAAAGTGCTGGGATTACAGGCTTGAGCCACCACCCCCTGCCTACGTGAATTTTTGAAAAAAATAAGTGAGGTGAAGATTTGCCTGGTGGAGTTTGAATTGTTACTTTTGACCTGTTAGGTCTTTGAAGACTAAGTCGATGTTTCACTTTTCTCCATAGAACTTTAGTACAATGCCAGGCATGTAGGAGGATAGTATTCAGGAAGTGTGTGTGTGCCTGATCGTCCAAAATGAAAAGAGGTAACACAGCAAGGGAAAGATAGCTAGGGAGGGGGTGGGGGAGACAGCCACAAGTAATTCATCTTTTCCCTTCCTTTCTTTTGTATGAAAAATTCTCAAACATGTATTTTCTAGCTTTTCATCCTTAAGGTCTCAGCTTTAAAGTCACTTTATCAGAAAAACTTTCTCTGGCCACATCTTTAAATTAAGCATCCTCCCCTAATGCCATTATTCTCTATCAACTTGTTTATTTCCCTTATAGGATTTGTCACAATTTTTATAATGTATTGTTGTTACCTGTTTATAAATCTTTCTCCCTCATAGGTTGCCCATGGGAGCAAAGACCATAGCACATTTTCTGCCACATAGCAAGTGTTTAGCTATTGTTAGAAGAAGACAAAGACAGCAAATATTACATACTTTTTGCAGAGCAGTGTCTTTTACATTTGAATAAAGGGAACAGTTGTCATGAGTGCCAAGTGTTGATGAAAATTATTATAATATTGAATATATACTTAAGCTAGGTATAAACTCAAGCATAATGCTGTTAAACAACTATAAAATCAAATATTCTTATAAATTAAAAGTAAACAAAACTACCAAATCAATATATTCAAATGACCATTACTCTAATTCAGGATTTCTCAGCCTGTTCATGTAAATATGTTGTATAGAATGGTATCAGTAACTTCAAGGTATTTTGCTGTTTCAGAATAATTAGAGATTGCACTTTTTGAAAGCTCTGCCAAAAAGAAATGCTTAAATGCCAATTTTAATTATGGTATCATTGGATAACTGGTAGAGCTGTTTGTTAATAATACAGAATTGCTTATGTGTATTGAGCACTGGCTATGTGCTTGGGACATGTGCTTATTAACTTATTAATAATTTATTAATAATCCTCACAATTATTTTCTTCAGTTTATACATCTGAAAACTGAAGCACAGAGAGGTATGGTAACTTGCCTGAGCTTTCAAGCAAGAGGCAACACAGGGATTCAAACCCAGGCAGTCAGTCTCCAGAGACCAGGTTCTTAAGACCAGGTGTTGTGCTACCTCTTAAGTTACTAACTTGAAGATGTGATTAGCATTGTGTCATTAAAATCTACATTAATTGATTCCTAACCAATTTTCTATGGACTCCGTAACAGAAAAATTCTTCTTTGCCTATTTGCCACCACATTTACTGTCATATAAAGATGACATCCACATATAATCTATCTTATATATCCATCCATTTATAATATGCCAAGTTCATTTGGAGCATTAACTGTATCTGATTTTGTTCACTCTTTTATATCAAAGTATTAGCACAGTATCTGAGATATAGTAATGGAAATGTGAAATGGTACAGCCATTGTGGAAAATGGTATGGCAGTTCTTCAAAAAATTAAATAAAGGCCAGGCACACGGCTCACACCTGTGATCTCAGCACTTTGGGAGGATGAGGCTGAAGGATCAGTTAATGCCAGGAATTTGAGGCTAGCATGCACAACAGAGCAAGACTCCATCGCTACAAAAATTTTTTTTTAAATTAGCTGGGCATGGTGACACGTGCCTGTAGTCCTAGCTACTCTGGAGACTGAGGTGGGAGAATTGGTTGAACCTAGGGGTTCATGTTACAGTGAGCTATGAACCCACCACTGTACTCCAGTCTGGGTGACAGAGTGAAAGCTTGTCTCTTAAAAAAAAATTAAATATACAATTACCATATAATCTAGCACTTCCATTTCTGAGTATATCCCAAAAGAAGTGAAAACAGGGACCCAGCAGGTATTTGTACACCCATGTTCACCAAGCATTATTCACAGTAGCTGAAAGGTGGAAGCAAGTGTCAATGGAGGGACCAATAGGTAATTGAGATGTGGTATAAACATACAAGGAAGTATTATTCAGCCTTAAAAAGGAAAGAAATTCTGGCACATGCTACAACATGGATGAACTAAAATAAGCCTGTCACAAAAGGACAAGTAATGATTCCACTGTTGTTGTTGTTGTTGTTGTTTTTGAGACAGAGTCATGTTCTGTTGCCCAGGCTGGAGTGCAGTGGCGCAATCTTGGTTCACTGCAACCACCACCTCCCAGGTTCAAGCAATTCTCGTGCCTCAGCCTAGCTGGGATTACAGGCACCTGCCACCACACCCGGCTTTTTGTATTTTTAGTAGAGGCGGGGTTTCATCACGTTGGCCATGCTGGTCTGTAACTCCTGACCGAACGTGGTCCACCCGCCTTGGCCTCCCAAAGTGCTAGGATTACAGGAGTGAGCCACCATGCCCGGCCTAAATGGTTCCACTTATGTAAGGTAGCTAGAGTAGTTAAAATTGTAAGGCTAGCCGAAAGAAAAGACAGTAAGCCCTACGTCAGGCAAACAAGTTTTATTAATCTGCTGGGCTGCTCCCTAACAATTAGAAGAGATAGCCCAGGGCCTAAAAAACAAGGAGTTTATATAGGTTGAGAGGAGCATAAGGGAGTTTCAAGACTGAGCTAATCTGTCAGCTTGTAACAGGCACAAAGATAGTTTGTCAGCTGTGACAGACTTACAGTACATCATCTGGGGACTTTTGTGGTGGCAGTTTAAAAAACACAGGATTTTACAGGTATGTGTAAAACAGGAATTTAAACAGTTTTGTTTTCCATGACCTCCCCCGCGGCACTGCCCAGGTGGCTGTAATCGGGCTTTGCTCAATCGTAGTGTATCTGGCAGCCTTGCTGTGGTGCCTAGATAGGAATGCAGCTGCAGAGCAATCAGAGTGGGGGTCAGCTGCCCCTAACAGGCCAGCCTTTTAATAGTTAATAGAAGAGGGGCGCCATTGTCATCTGGCTGCTTCTTGCTGGATAGGGGCCACGCTCGACGTTTGGGCCGAGGGAGGCTAGATAGTAGGAATTGTTGTTCCTGGAGCTGTTAGTATTCTTGGAGCAGCATCATATCTTGTATTGTCCCATGGGTGAAAGCTTTAATACAGTCCTGTAAAAACTGGGTGAGGAGTCGTAAGAGGCAGGGACTAAATGCTAGAAGGGAGAAAAGGGTTATGGCAGGACCTAGGAGGGCCAGTAGCCAGGTTGCCCAGGGGTTACAGAACCACTGGGGCCAGGTAGAATTTAAGTTTTTGTGCTCGGTCTTTGAGCTTTTGATAGCATCCCGTACTAGCGCAGATTCATTGAGGTAGAAACAGCATTGTTTATTTAAGAGGCACAGACTTCCTTTTTCAGCAGTGAGGAGGTCTAGGCCTCTGTGATTTTGTAGGATGACTGCTGCTACAGAGTCTAGTTGGTTTTGGAGGTGAGTGATAAGAGTTTGCTGTTTTTTCTAGTGATGATTGGAAGTCTCCGTAGAGTGACTGGAAATATGATAATGAGGTTCCTAAGCTTCCTGCTTCTAACTTGACAGTAATTGTGACTCCAAGGTCTACTAATAAGGGAATTAACTGTATTGCTCTTTTTGAACAGGCATGTAATGTAGCAAGGACAGGGAGTCTTTGGTTTGGAGAGACAAGGTTAATGTTGGGGGTAAGGTAGACGAGGG